GTACCTAAACGTATAGAAATGGGAGTCACACACATTAATCTACTCCTGAGAACCTAAGAACTTATTCTCAAAATCTAGCCACATACTCCTCCACCTACTCAGTCATAAAACAGATTGAGACACAATAAAATGTACTGGAGACTGAGCGTTTAACTACCTTCAGGTATAAAAGGAATTTTCTTCATAAAGGCAGCAATATAACTCTGTAAAAGACTTAGATGAGTTCCATGGCAACAGTTGTTCAACAATTTAATTAAAACGGTTTTAGTGGAGCTCTATGGTGATGCATTGCTTCAATGCTCCCATATGTTGTAATAATAATAATAAGATTCACCAGAATGCTACCAGGGCTAAATGAGTTTAATTATGAGGACAGCTTGCATAACCTTGGTCTCTATTCCCTTCGGTTTAGAAGGTTGAGGGGTAATCTGATTGAGGTTTTTAAAATAATAAAGGGATTCGATAGGGTAGATACAGGGAAACTATTTCCTCCAGTAGGGGAATCCAGAACAAGGGGGCATTATCTTAAAATTAGAGCTAGGCATTTAGGAGTGAAACTAGGAGGCAGTTTTCACACAAAGGATAGTGGAAATCTGGAACTTTGCCCCCAAAAGGCTGTGGCTGCTGGATCCATTCATGTCTTCAAGGCTGAAATGGATAGGCATTTGTTAGGTACTAAGGGATACGAGACAAGGGTGGGTAATTGGACTTGAGGTACAGATCAGCCATGATCTTATAGAATGTTGGAACAGGCTTAAGGAGCTGAATGGCTAAGCGCCTTATCACGTCTTCAAGACGTCTCAAAGCAATTTACAGAATATACTGTAAAATAAATTGACCGTATATTTTGTCGATGAAATGTGTCAGCTAATTGTGCACAGCAGTGTCCCACAAACAATCGTGGATTGAGCGACCACATTATTTATTAATTTATTTGTTTATATTTAGAAGGGATGATTACCCCCGGAAAAGTGATTTACCAATTGACTGACATCCGGGTTCCTATTTACTGCTAGGTAAACAGAGACGTGTGGAGTAAGGATACTTGCCCCCTCCCGAGAATCGAACCCAGGTCCTCTCGCTTGGGAAGCGAGTGCTTTAACCAGTAAGCTACAGGATTCCACATTCCTCAGGTGGTAGGATTCACATATTTGCATATTTCTGTATGTGACAACTTTCCTATCTCATCCCAAGGACTCAAGTTCAAAAATAATGGGGCTACACCAAAATACCCCTGAGCTGCACAGGTGGAATATCAATCTTATTTCCTCCATATCCCACATATCTGTAACATATCTGTGTCATTTCCCCTCTCAGGATTCTTGACTTAAATGAAATTAAGTCTGATTCTGTTTCTCTTCTCACACTTGAGGCTACGACTCTGGATCCATTTAAAAAGCAGCTTGATGCTGTGGTGGGGAGACAGTAACATGGGTTATTCTGGAAGGAAGAAGTCAAATGGGTTGAAGATCCTTATTCATCCAAACCTGATCTTGTGAACGTAGAATTCTGAGTACTGGACATATCCCAATTTTGTTACATAAACTCGCTCAGGTGGTGAAATGGGTCAAAAGGTTGTAGGTTCAAGCTCTATGTCAGAACTTTAAGATGATAATCTAAGACTACCACATCAATTGCGCTGTCAATAGTGCCGTTCTTTAAATGAAATAATAATAATCCTTGTATTTGACATAGCGCTTTTCACGCCTTCTAGACGTCTCAAAGCGCTTCACAGAATATGCTGTAAAGTGAATTGACTGTATATTTGTGGGTGAAACACAGCAGCCAATTGCACACAGCAGTCATGGATTGAAAATGACCAATGTATTATTGTTTTGTTTTGGAGGGATTATTATTATTTATTATTAAATGTTAAACCAAGGTCCTATTTGTCTGTTTAGGTGGACATTAAAAACCTAAAGTTACTGTTTGAAAACATATAGGAGTTTCTGCTGGTTTCGTGGCCAACAATTCTCCAGATAAAATTGTTATTCATTTCATTCATTGGTTGTTTGTGGGATACTGCTGTGTACATTGTCCTTCACTTACACAATCGCTCCACTTTATAGTAAATCCCTTGTCATGTTCTGATGACACGTTCTGGTCACAGAGGTACAAAAAAGATATTGGAGAAATCGAGAAGATACAGAGAAGGGCAACCAAGATGAATGAGGGAATGGAAGGACTGGACTATGAGGAGTGACTAAGTGAATTGGGCATGTTCACGCTGGAAAAGAGAAGATTGAGAGGCAACATGATTTCTGTCTTTAATATTCTAAAGGGTCTAGACAATATAGATCATGAATAGTAAAACCAGAGGAAATAGCCTGTGATTGAAGGGGTAAATTCAGAACTAATCTATGCAAACACTATTTCAATGAGCGAATAGTGAACCTGTGGAACAGGCTCCCTAGGGAGACGGTTGAAGCAGGAAATGTTGATTCTTTCAAACATAGGTTAGATAGTTTTCTTTTAGGAAATAACATCATGGGATGTAGTACATGGGTAGTTTGGGACATATGTGCACGTGACCGCCAGGAAGGTGGAAAGCGAACTAGATGGACCTTGGTCTTTTTTTATCTAGCATTTCTTATGTTAAGTTCTTATGACATGACAAGGTGATTTTTGATACACAAGGGTTATTTTTAACTGACTGGTGCTGTTTTGCAGATATCTGTACATCTGTTCAGCTGTTCCTGCACAGTACTCTCATCAGCCCCCAGCTAGTAAGATTAGCTTATATAAGTCAGCCTCATAATAGCTTTACTGCTGGATGTAATGATACATTTTATCCATACATCACCCGGTAGTGTAACTAAGTAGAAAAGCCCTTGATGTGCAAGTCAGTAACTGATTAATCTTGTTGCCAACAACTTCATGCTGACTGGAATGGAGCCAAATGTATTTTACTTAAAAAAGTCTGGTAGACATTGAGATCAACCACCAGCACAGGTGTTGATACAAGGAACTATAAAGCATTTCTACAAGGGATTAGATGAGTTCCTGGAAACTGAAAGGCTTCAGGGATATTAAATGATAAGCTAGTTGTGTTGATGGAATCTTTTGAGAAGTTGCGTGGGTAGGCTAGATAGACTCCTGCTTGAAACTGTTACCATTGTATTATATACAGTCTAACTCAGTTGGTAGCATTCTTGCTCCAAGTCAGACGACTGTGAGTTCACGTTATACGTTTGGACTTTGAGTATATAGTCTAAACTGTCATTCCAATGCAGTACTGGGGGTGTGCTACATTGTGTTGGAGGTGCTGTCCTTTGGATGAGACATTAAACTGAGGTCCCATTGGTCTGTTCAGATGTATATTAAAGATCCCATGGCACTATTTGAAGAGAAAATGGAGTTTTACCATGTGTCTTGGCCAACATTCCTTAAATTAAAAAATGGTCATTCACTTCATGGCTGTCTATGGGATATTGCTGCGTGCAAATACAATAAATCCTATGAAGCACTTTAAGACATTTCAGAGACATTATAGAGGAACGACCCCAACTCCCCAAGTTTATATTTAATTTGTGACATATTTAGAAGGATATTTTGGTTTACATCACATAGAAGAATTACATTTGTTTTGCTCAAGGCAACAATTATTTTTCAAAGAGAGTGTTGCACAGTGTTAAGTACATTTTTACCACGTAGGTTCTAAAACATATAAACATATATAATTAATTTTAATTCTAATTTTAAACCAGATTGCTTTTAATAGTCGTATTTTAATAATAATAACAATAATCTTTACGTTTGATATACCACCTTATCACATCATTGAGACATCTCAAAGCACTTCACAGAATATACTGTAAAATGGATTGACTATGTATTTGTGGGTGAAATGAAAATAAGAAAATCAAGAAGAAAATACATTTTCTTATTGCACAGCAATGGGTTCATACTATCATATTGATAAATACATCCTTATGTCGAAAGCAATCATGTGTGAAATCATCTATTTGTTTACCAAAGACTGTCACTGCCTATAGCTGTTACAATTTGAGTCTTTACTCTGATCTAACTCTCCATGCACGCTTGCTAACTGCTCGTTGACCTTGTTTAGACTCTTTCCTTGCAACATGGAGTCCTGTAGCTCAGTGGTTAGAGCACTCGCTTTGCAAGTGAGAGACCTGAGTTCAATTCCAGGCAGAGCAAAACCTTGGGCAAGTTTCCTTACTCCACACAGAGCCTAATAATAATCCCTCCAAAACAAAACAATAATAAATTGGTCATTTTCAATCCACCACTGTTTGTGGGACATTGCTGTGCGCAATTGGCTGCCGCGTTCGCCCACAAATATACAGTCAATTCACTTTACAGTGTGTTCTGTGAAGCGCTTTGGGACGTCCTCCCGACGTGAAAAGCACTATATCAAATGCAAGGATTATTATTATATAACATGTTAGCATGCTGCAAGCATATTGTAACTGCTTTGTCCTTGGTACATCAACAAAGAATGATTGTAAACAAGAGAAAAGGAGGGTGAAACGAGTGGCTATAATGCCATGGGTAACATTTATTTCTGCTTTGATAACCTTCCCCATGAATCTTTACTGTATGGTCACTATGTGTATTTTAAGAATAAAAGGTGACATTGGTAGTCACTGCAAAGGAAAATGATGCCTGGGGGCATTTGAAATGAGACTGATTCAGTTTCTATGGGAAAAATACAACAAAGCACAGTATTTGTTTGTTGCTATTGAAACTGTAATGGACACTTTAAATTCTGCCAAAGTGTCTTTTTGATTGCTTTAAATTCTGTGTCCATCTTGCTCTGCAATGAATTCACTATTCCTTTAGACAGCGTACAATGCCGTTTCCACTTCATCGCTCCAGCCTGCTATTTCATACATGAATTAACTAGGCAGTGCTTATGCATGGGCGACCTGTATAAGCTGAGGTCTGATCATTCACTACAGAGCTTGTTTAGCTTTTATTGTGTGTCACAGAAAGATTTTCAGTATGTTTTACAATTCTAAAGAGGAAGGTGAACTGCACAACACTGGGAGCAGAGCACAAGGTAAAGAATTTTGGTGATATATTTTTCTGTTTACTCCTTTTCTTTGTTGTTGCCCTTCTCAATCACTCATTTGCTCTATTATGTACTGTTTCATTCAGTTGTTCCATCATTCTGCTTTCCCCTGACTCTTTCTCTGTGTCTCTCCTTCTCATTTTGTCTTCCTTTCCCATGCTTGAGGGTGTCAACCTCACTTCAATACTCACGAGCCATTTTATTTTGATGTAGCTGTGTTCTGAATTTAAGATTAATTTGCTGGTTTGCAGGGTGTTGACAGTGGCTGTTTATGTATCTAGAACCACAAGCTGTCAAAAAGTGAAAAAAAAATCAGTGAGCTAAGATTGACAGAACTGTACTTGAGCAATCATTGGGAGATGACCCGATAACTGTTGGAAGCGTAGCATGCTGCAATGGATTCAGAAAATGAAATGGGAAAGATTATTTAACACTGAAAGCTGGATGCTTAAAGGGAATCTGTATCACAATTCATAGGTAACAGATTGGAAAAAAAGCAGCAATCTTCTGATTTATTTCTCAGCGCATGGAGATACTGAAAATTCAAGTGTAAGTAACATTCATGTTACCTCTATAGCTCAGTGTCTTGTAATACCATATGTATGATAGGTGTGATGGGAAGGTCTTAGGGGATTTTATGCTGGTTGGCCATATTCATACATTTTCTTTTTTATGGTTATTATAGCTTTAGTCTTAAATGACTGCAATAATGTTCTATGTGTGAATGATCATTGCACTGATACGCTGCCAAAGTGAATAAAGGTGCTTCAGTCCAATGTTTCCTGAAAGTCTCACTTTTTCACTTGATGCCTGGGCTTTTCAAACAGACTATGTAGTCAAGCCTTTGGATACGTATAGCACTTCTGTATAAAAAGACAATGTTACAACTCCGTTGATGGCTCAGTTTGTAAATCTGCTGCTTGGGAATAAAACTAATCTATGCAGACAAAGCTCGAGATCACAAGATCGAGTTGGACATCATTCCTTCCACTCCACCAACTTCAGCCTATTTCTTATCCTCTCCCTCCACCCGCCGGTGCCCCACCATTAGCAGACAAGCTTTTAGATACCTTGCTTCCACCCGCTGAAAATCTCTTCCCAATTCCCTCCACCTTGCCTTCCCTCTCTCTTTCTCTGATTTCAAAGCCTATCCAAAGACATACCTCTTTGTGTTTTCAGTCACATCTCTCTATATCACATCAATCACATCAGTCACATCAATCCATGACTGTTTGTGGGACACTGCTGTGCGCAATTGGCTGCCGAATTTCGCCCACAAATATACAGTCAATTCACTTTACAGTACATTCTGTGAAGCGCTTTGAGCCGTCGAGAAGACATGAAAAGCACTATATCAAATGCAAGGATTATTATCATTATAACAAGACCGAGACTCTCCTGATTGGCTCCCGTCAGCCCCTCCACACCTCCCATCACCATCCATGGTTGCACACTCCACCTCACTAAGCCAGTCCGGAACCTTGGTGTCTTGTTTGACCCTCAACTATCCTTTCTACCCCACATCCATGCCATGACCTGCTCTGCCTTCCCTCACCTCCGTAACATCACCTACTCCGCCCCTGTCTCACACCGCAGGCTGCCAAAACACTCATACACGTATTCATTACATCGAGGCTCGACTATGCAAACTCCTACATGTCGGCCTCCCCAATTCCTCCCTTCATAGGTTGCAGATCATCCAGAACTCTGCAGCCCATGTTCTCTCCCACACTAGGCTCTGTGATCCTATCGCCCCCATCCTCAGCAGACTCCACTGGCTTCCCATCACACAGAGGATACAGTTCAAGATCCTGGTCCTCACCTTCAAAGCCCTGCATGGTCCTGCTCCCCACTACCTCTGCGACCTCCTAACCTCTTACCATCCCACTCGCTCTCTCCACTCAGTGGGCTCCGGCCTGCTTCACGTCCCCACCTTGCTTTCCCCACTATTGGCAGGTAGGCCTTCCACTCTGCCCCCACCATCTGGAACTCTATCTTGCAGTCCCTCTGTCTCGCCCCCTCCCTTACCTCCTTCAACACCCATCTCAAGAGCTTTCTCTTTGACTGTGTTTTCGATCACTCTGCTTCTCCCCCTGCCCTCCACCCTCCCTGATCCCGATCCCGACCTCCAGCTCGGGTCTGAAACTGTCTGTCCAGCACCTTGGAATGTCCTCCCAACGTGAAAGGCACTATACAAATGTAATGTTGTTGTTGTTGTTGTGGAACACCACCACAGCAAAAGTCATCATCTGCTGGAGAGTGTAGTGAGAAAAATAGAAGAAAATATTACTAATCCTTGTATCTGATATAGCAATTATAATGTCTGAATGTCTCAAAGAGTAACTATTGTGAAGAGCAGTAACTGTGCATTTGTGGGCAAAGAGGTTGCATGCAGAAAGATCCCCAAAAAACAATGACAGGAATGACCAATTTATCTGGAGAAACGTTGGATAGGACATGAGGAGACATTCCCTTCTCCTTTCAGTTTAATATCTCACTGGAAGGGCAGCCCTTATGGTGTAATAATAATATTATAATTGTTAGTTATTAATTATAATATTAATCCTTGCATTTGATACAATACCTTTCATGTCGGGAGGACAGCTCAAGCGCATCACATGAATTACTGTAAAAAGTTGTAACTGTGTTTTGTAGGAAAACTATGAGCTCAAGTATTTGTATCTATGAACATCTGACTCAGCTTGAATACACTAACATCTGACTAAGCTAGGGTGCTGTCAATCTGACCTCTGAGAGTAAATCCAATTATAAGTGTTGTATATCAATGGCGCCTAATTTTTGGAGAATATCTGAAATGAAGAATCAAATTTAAGATTAATTTCAATGACACGTTGGTTCTTCAGAAGGTTCACTTGAAATAAATGACCCTGAAATGTCCTCCTACAGAAAAATCCTGTTTTAAATGAACCAATAAAAAATGGCAGATCTCTGTGTTGTCAGGTTGCTGTTGATGTCACTTCATGCATGTTGCACAGGAAGCACCGCCGAAGTTACGTCCTGTGGGCTGCTCATGCCCGCAATGCACAGAGAGCGTCACTGATGTCACTTCCAACCAATGTCAGTGGTGCTTCCTGTACATGTTATCGTGCAGATGCAGCACACAAGAAATGACATCAGTGGCAACCTGAGAACTCAGAAGACAGCTGGTTTTTAGCTTGAGAATCTGACTAGTCAGTGTCGGAAACTGGATGTACCACACTTTGGGAAAGCGTGGATCCACAGTAGATCCATGCTCTAAGCTGTAAAGGGGTTCCTCTGTATTTCATGTGATAGCTCTTGGAGCATAGTTAAAATTCCTTCTATTTTATTGCCACAGTCATATTCAAAGACTGTTCAGACGGTGCAGTTCACACTTTCTAGGGATCCACAGAGGTGTAGCCCTGTCTCAGAATGTTTCCAACTGCTTGTACTTTCAAATGTGTGAAGCTATTACATTTTCTTTAAATAAATCAGTTCTACCCATATCCTCTCAGTGCAGCTTTCCTAAGAAGGGATTCAGGCTGCATATAACATCTAGGTTTGATTATAATACTCGACTTGGACTGCTGACTATTTTGGCATGTTTCAAATACCAAGAGGAGGCAGTCTGATTAGATAGGTAACAAAAGATAATTTTGAGTTCCAGGGGAAATTGAAGAGGATTTCACAATCAACAAAATGTGAGCTATGAGCAACAACTAGACAAGCTGGGTCTGAAGACGTTAGCTTGTCATCGATTAGACAAGCTAACTTCTTCAGTCTTGAAAAAGTGAACCCAGACCAAGACGTTAGGATGCACCAAGACAGTAGAACGAGAGGACATGGGTTTAGAATTCAAAAGGACAATTTCAGAACAGGCACCAAGAAGTTCTTCTTTACCCTGAGGTTAATTAATGACTGGAACAGATTGCTGGGAAGGATGGTTGAGATCAAGACACTGGTCTCATAAAAAAAGCAGCTTGATGCTGGGTTGTGGAAGGGAGTTCCAGAGCCTCGGGGCGTAATGGCTGAAGGCACGCCTGCTGAGGGTGGAGCGGAGAACTCGGGGGACGAGGAGGAGGCCAGACCCGGAGGAATGAAGGCAATGGCACTGTTTTGAGGAGAGAGGAGGTCAGAGATGGTGGAGGAGGATGGCGTGATCGACTGTATCGAACGCGGCTGAGAGGTGCAGGAGGACAAGGAGGCAGAGGGAGCCCTGTTCACAGATAGAGAGGGTGTTGTTTGTGACTTTCACAAGCGCAGTCTCTGTACTGTGGACGGAAGCCCGACTGGAAGGGTTCGAAGAGGGAGTGGGAGGAGAGGTGTGCACGAAGTTGATTGGCAACAATGCATTCTAGGACTTTTGCGAGGAAGGGCAGGTTAGAAATGGGGCGGTAGTGGCTGGGGTTTGAGGGATCTAGGGAAGGTTTTTTGAGGAGAGGGGCAATGACAGCAGTTTTGAGGGAGGCAGGGACTGATCCGGAGGAGAGCGACTGGTTGATGATGTCAGCCAGTAGTGGGCAGAGGAGGGGGAGCTGGGTGACCAGTAAGTTGGTGGAGAGGGGTTCGAGACAGCAGGTGGTGGGTTTCATGGAGGTGATAGTGGGTGAGAGGGAGGAGGGAGAGATGGGGAGGAAGGAATGTAGAATGGGGTTGGTGGTAGGAGCAGATGATGTTGAAGGTGAGGGGGTCAGAGAGGGCATGGTGGTGTGTGACAAGGGGCAGGTGGATGAGGCTGCCTGGCGGATGTTAAGTATTTTAGATGAAAAGAAGTCCATGACCTCCTCACAAATGGCATTTGATGTGAAGATTGATGAGGCCTGAGGGGAGGCACGGTGGAGGAAGTAGGTGGTGGAAAAAAGGATTTTAGGGTTGTGTTTAGCCTCCAAGATGATGTTGGAGTAGAAGCCGTTTTTGAGCGGGTCAAAGAACGACGGTAGCTGTGGAGATGCTCGGGCCACAGTTGGCGGTGAACTGTAAGACCAGTTTTCCGCCATCTGCACTCGAGCAGCCGGGTTTGGGTTTTTTGGTGGTGGAGGTGGTTGTTGTACCAGGGGTATCGGGTGGGTTTGGAGATGGTCTTAGATTTTAGGGGGACGAGGGAGTTGAAGGTGAAGGAGAGGAGATCATGGAGCAGCTGGACGGCTGCTTCAGGATCTCTGCGGGTGGAAGGCCAGAGGGATAGGATATTTGATGATGAGAGGACCTTTGTAAGGGTCTCGGGGGTAGCCTTTTCCAAGTGCGGTAGAGGATGGTTGAGGGCTTGGTGGAGGAGAGAGGGATGTGAGAGGAGAAGGAGATGAAAAAGTGGTCTGAGATGGCCTTGTTCACTATGCTGAGGAAATGTCAAGGCCATGGGTGATGATGAGGTCAAGTGCATGACGACGGTTGTGGGTGGGTGAATTTATATGGAGGGTAAGGTTTAGGGAGGAGAGGAGGGCAGTGAAGTCGGCAGAAGAGGTGCAGGGGAGTTTAGGTGGAGGTTGAAATCGCCCATTATGAGCAGGCACTCGGAGCAGAGGGACAGGGAAGAGAGGAGGGTAGAGATGTCTGTGTGGAAGTAGCCGAGG